GTTTCAGTGACCATAACTGCAACATACAACACTTAATTTAAAGTAAACTCAGTCGTTTAGCAAGTCTGAATGTAGAAGATCTACTACTCTTATGACCTGAGGCACAATTTGGCTGCTAAACTTCAGGTAGCCCATATCAGTAACTTAGTTCATGAAAAGTCAACTTTTTCACTAGCATGCCTTAAGGCAGCCTATGAGCTTCCTACAGCGTAGAAAAACATAGCAATGAAAACTGAGTAATTACAACTTGGCCACATTGTATGACTGGGAAAGACTGCTAAAGACTGAAAGTCCTGCTAAAGACTACAAAGACTGAAAGTGATTTACTCACCAAATACTACAGTAGGAATACTCAAATGAGGAAGCCAGACAAGATTTGGCCCAAGTTTTGTTTTAGGCTCTAGTTATTTACAAGGTGGCAGTGATTCCTTGCAGCATGGCTGGCACAGATAAAGCTTGGCTCTTTTCAGCTAGAAACAGCTCCTCTGCTAAAGGGCAATACTCTTTAAGTTCCTGCACTTATGAATTCGATAAATACTGTGGGAAAAAAATGTTGCCTGTAAAAAGGGCAACAAAGCAAAGCCTATGTGCCTCCCCAGCACGTAATCCAGGTGGTTGCTGAAGTGTGTAATGGGGCTATTTTTGCACAGAGGCGAACAACAACAACCAGATGTATGCAGCTTTTTTACCCGCTCCACAGACAATACAGTTCATGGTCCCGGATCCAGAATCTACACCAAAACTCCCGTGTTCCCACACCCCGACTTGAAACCTATGGACGGGAACTTAAAAACAGCAAGGGAAGGCCGAATCAAAGCTCTCTGAAAACGGCACTTACTGCCCTTTACCTCCAGCGAAGTTCACAGAACCCCACAGGGCTGCATTACAGGCAATACTTAACTATAATTACTGTTGTGCAAAAAGAACTCAGGTGCAGGTTACGGCATAAGCCGCCCAGTCAGTCTGAAAAGTAATTAGGGCAGATGTTCATTAAGAACTTCCTAATGAATCTGTTAACTTCGTACCTTACTCCAGTAAACTTTCTTACAGGTACACAAGGCAATTTACTAGAAAGCGCGCGGAGACGCGGCGAATAGCAAACGGGGAAGCGAGCGGGGGGGAAAAATAAATAAAGACAGCAAAAAGAAGGAAGACAAGTGCAATTTGACTCATTTTGGGAGCTGCGAGGGCTCCTGTCCTTCAGGGGGACGCCCAGCACGAAGCAGGGGAGCGCCGCCGGGGTCCCCGCGCAGCGCTCCGGCAGCGCCAGGCGGAGACCGCGCCAGGCGAAGACCGCGCCGGGCGCTCCGTGCGGCCGCGCTCCCCCCGTTCCCCTCCGGGCCGGGCGCTCCGTGCGGCCGCGCTCCCACCTCGCCTCCCTGCCCTTGGCCCCCAAGGCTGCCCCCCACACCCGTGCGCTGCCCACAAGGCTTCGCCGGGAGAACGCAGACCCTGAACGACGGAGAGGCCACCCAAGCCCCGGGCACACAGCCCACTGTGCACGCAACCCGTCCGCCCCGGGCTGGCCACCGAGCCTCCCACCTTCCGAAAGTAGCTGTCCCCCGCCGGCTCCGCCGCCTGGCGGGGCAGCAGGGCGTCTGTCATCTTCGGGCGGGCCGACCGACCTTCTTTCCTTCTGTCCGTCCGTCCTCCGCCACTGCTACGAGCCGAGCTCTCCCCGGTGAAACCGCGACCCTGCGGAAATGCCGGCGCTGCCCCACGGCACCGCCCGGCCCCACCTCCGGCGGTGGCGGGGAGGAGCTGCCCCGCCCCACGGCGCTGCTCCGCCGCCGCCCAGCGGTCCTGGCGAGGTCCCGGCAGCGACCCCCGGGCCTCCTCCCGCGGGGGCTCCGCCGGGCTGGCTGAGGCGCCCCTGGTAAGGTGACGGGCGGTGGCGGCTCAGCGCGCTGCCCCCCGGCCCTCCGGCCGTTCTCCGGCCGGGCCAGCCTGCCTGGCCGCCTGGAAGGCGCGGCTCGCTCCTGGCGCTGCCCCGCCGCCTCCCGCAGCCCCTGGGGCGGCCACCCGCCGCGGCCGCTCCCGGCAGCGTGGGGCCGGCGCCAGCTCTCCGCGGGCACGGCCTCGGGGAGGCGCGGTTCCCCATGGCTGCCCCTCAGAGCGGCTCCTTCCCCCTGAGGGGCGCTCCCGCCGCGGGGAGGATCCTCACGGCCCCTCGGCACCGAGTGCTTTGGGTGGGTTCGACCCGCCGGCTCGCAGCAATGGTCTCTCCCTGGTTCCTGATCTGTGAAAAGGCTGGAAAAGGTGCCGGAGCCCGGGCCCCTGGAAAGGGCAGCGGGGTCTCAGTGGAAGGGAGGGCTGGCTCTGCTCCAGGAACCCGCTGTGGGACCAGCCTCAACATTGCGGAGGTCTGCAGTTCGTGCTGCAGAGACCACCTGTCTGCAATACTCTGTTGTGTAACTGGTTTCACAAATATTATGTGGACACAAATATTGGAATTTGCTAATATTGGTTCCTATTCCTAGCCATGCCTAACCTACAGAGCTTGCCAATTCCAAATATTGGAATTTGCCAATATTGGATCCTATTCCTAGCCGTGCCTAACCTACAGAGCTTGCCAATTCCAAATATTGGAACTTGCCAATATTGGATCCTATTCCTAGCCGTGCCTAACCTACAGAGCTTGCCAATTCCAAATATTGGAATTTGCTAATATTAGTTCCTATTCCTAGCCGTGCCTAACCTACAGAGCTTCCTGCACATTTAGCATTGATAGATGCAGTACTTCAATCGGTATTACCTAACTTACCTTCCTCCCCACCTCCCCCAGCCTTGTTTCTCTTTTTTTAGCTTTCTTTGAATTATGGTGGAGATGTGCCAGGCAAAAAAAAAAAAAAAATTGAACAGAGAACATTTTTTTCATCCAAGGAAAAAATATCCTTGGAATTATATTCTTAACGGAAACTGTTCTTTGAAAATATTGGGGTCTTGTTGCCCTGATTTTGTAAAGCCTTCTGAGTTTACATTCTTGTAGAGAACTTTCTGTAAACAACCTATTATTTTGCATTCCTTCATAGAGGCGGAGAAATTTGATGTACTAGTAGTTTGTTCAATGTTGTTGGAGAGGTGGCACGTTCAGCCTCCAATCCACTGTCACCTTTGGAAAAGTATAAATGCTGAAGTCAGAAAATAAACTTCCTCTTTTTTACCTTTACAACAGCAGTGGCTCATGTCATGTTTTCACGTATCCTATAGTGACAGGGTCTCCAAAAGGTTCTACAGGGCAGTCTGGTTAAACTGTGTGTCTACTGCATGTTTTTAAGGAAGAGTGTTAGAGTCAGCAACTCAGAAATTGGGATCCAAAGACTTGCTGTCTTGAAAGCAGCTGAATTTTGTTTGTTGTGATTTTTCTCACCTCACTATTTTTTCCCCAATAATTCTAAAGATACTGGATGAATGTATCAAAATGTGTATTAAATATGAATAGGTGAAAGTAGGAAACTTGCTTCAGTTTCTGATTTGAGTGTGTAAAAATATTTTCAATTGTATCCTATTAGAAAAGGTGCTTATCTGATAAAAAGGGGTTTAAAATTCAAATCTTGCAAATCAGTATAAAACTCCAAAGCAATAGAGAAACTAGTTTAAGATAAGTGAGTAATTTTCCAGGCAGGCTGTGCTGATACAACCTGCCAATTAAAACAACATCAATGTAACCCTCTTTGGAGTTTGTGCTGCTGTCACTGGCTTTATCGAAAACTGATCTCATTGGAAGGCTACAGCTATTACTCCAAATAAGAGCGTGTATTCAGGCCATAGGCTCAGTTAACAAAAATGATCATTACCATGGTTATGTGTAAAACACACATTTGCAGAGATTTCTGCATGATACAACACCAAAGACACTTTCTAACATATGCCGATGACAAAATGCCGCCTTTCTTTGTTGCTGGTGGATTCTTTGAATAAAGCAAAGTCAGCACATCCAGTAAGTTTCTACAGTAAAAGCAGGAGTCCAGGATAGCAGGCTCCCTCCCTGTTGTTAGTGTCTGGGGTATATCACCCAGCACCCTCACAACTGCCAGATTAGACTGAGCCCTCCCCTCACTCGAATAAAGGGTATTTCATCACGACTGCATTAGCACTGATAGAGTGTTTCTTCACTAAGTCACTGTAGGTTTGGTGTGCGTATAGGGAACATGGATGTTTTTGCAAAAGCACATATTGATTGTATGGTCTCAGCTGTATAATGGCTGAGTAGGAGTGCTCTCTGACCCTGGAATGTAAATTGCAGCTTAGAACATTCCAAAACCTGATTTACGCTCAAAAAAAACATGTCCCTGCTCTTTGCTCCATCTTGTCTCCAGTAGCTATTTGGTTGCTGTTAGAATTCCTAAATAGAGTTGGGTTTATACCACAAACCTTCTCATGATTACTGCCTGAGTCAGAGGCTTGGTTGCTGCATTGTAAAGATGGAGAAATGTAGGCTAGAAATACAGATAAATGCATTCAGAAAATGGGTTGTATAGATACAGATGTTTGCTCAACATTTATTTTTAATATTTGAAGAGAGTCAATTCTGTGATCTGGTGCACTGGACACGCACTGTCTCTAAGAAAGCATCAAATGCTTAAGAATTTGCATCTAAAGAATATCAGTATGTTCTTCATGTGCTGAAGCCTGAGCAGCAGGCCTAAACCAGGGCTGATTTATAATCCTGGGCACTGTGTGACCAACACCATCAGTATTACTTACCTAAAAATAGATGACCATGACACGTATGCCAGCTGTTTAACACCAAACAGGCTGCTTTAGAAACTTTTCTATAATCTTGTGTAGTTATCTGCAAGAAATGTATTATTTTAAGAAACTTTCCCAACTGACATTAGTAGAGGTTTGTTTGTATGGTATTTTAGGGAAAACCCACCCAGCTGAGGCCTGGGCTCTGGCCCAGGGTGCCATCAGATCCAGGTGTTTCCGTGATAAAAATACAAACAGGTCACTTTGTCTGGCAGATTTGAGCCTATAAAAACTGGACTCCCTTTCAGGGTGAATTTGGAAGCCTCACCTATGGGTGGATGACCATGTAGGATTGATGGGAAGATTTCTCCAGGTCCTCTCTTCGAAATGGGGCTCACCAGCAATTGCAGTTGCAGACTCTGGATGATGGTAAAGCATTTAGGCACTTGGTGATCTGTCTTTCTCAATCACTGTTCTCTTTCTTTTATAGTAATGATTAGGTGCATTACTTGCTTATTTTTGCTTGTTGTCAAAGCTGAGTGGTAAGCTTATTGTTTTATTAAATTTAATTTTACTTTTGTGTTGCCTTACTATTCATAGTAAAATAAGACCATTCTCTCCATTGGTGTCTGTGTCTTTTAAGTTGCCCTGTCAACTGGCAAAACAGTTCTGCATGAAGTGTTGAATCTGAAAGGATTGGTTCTTATCTCTGCATCACCTCTCTTAGTTCTTTCCAGAAGAACTCATCATCTCCTAGTTCTCTGCAGAATTAGGTGCTAACTGGCTTTGTGCATTTTCACAGATAAAACAGCCAGGTGATGGTAGACAATGACCATGTTGGAAACAGGCACATAATGGCAGACCTGAGTTGTCCCATGTTTTGTCCCACAATAGTAAAGGGACAAAAGGATGAGAAAATCTGAACACCCTTACCGCAGACACATATAAATTTAAATATATATATCATATGTTTGTATCACTCCACTCGTTCTGTTAATCCTCTACTTCTTCTCCATCATGTGAAAAAAATATGTGAATATAAGAAAGCCCATCAATAGTCTTCTCTTTGCTAGGAAATAGTTCCAGTTTGGGAAATTATTTCCTGCTGGGGACCGGTTATGTATCATTCCATACCCAAGAGAGGAATCTGGCGGCTCTCTGGAGTGACAATGTTTCTTATCTCCGATTTTACAGACCTTTTGGCTATATGGTGACAGCATGTCTCAAGATCTCTTTTGTCCCAGAGAGACCCAGAGGCTTACCAGCAGAAGCACGTTAGAATTATACTGTATGAAGGGAGAAGTATGCATCAACTCCTGCTGCTTCTCAAGGTAGGTTTTTGAATTCTGAACCTGACATAAGAGGAACATTTATGTTCCTATTGTTGGTGGCTTTGAATATTGAACTTAGATTCTGATCACAAAGAGAGAAAGATTTTGTCAGTAATCATGACAGCCTGTAGCTTTCTCTATAAATTCACTGCAGTGATTTAGTTGAGTTACTATCATCCTTTATTTCTGAAGATTGCAGTTCTTAGTGAGTGAGTATCTGCCTAATTGCAAAAATAGGGCATGAGACACAGTAGTAGCAGTGATGTGAATCTGCTTTTCTGCTTTGAGACTGGTAGAAATTTACAAAATGGAGAGGAATATTTCCTTACCAAGAAATTTACTGAGGAGCAATAAAATGATCTGAAAATGGTACACAAAGTCAGTATCAGGACTGTAGATAAGCACGATATGCTTTGCTGTAGGTGCAGTGCTCCACTGCTGCTTCTTCACCTTAGAGGTATTAACTGCAGCATTATCTTCACTGAAATCCTATTTTCTATTAAATAACTAATATGCTTTGCCTGTTGTACTGTGAAATCACATTGGAAACAAGACGTTGCAGTTTATGTGGAAACTAAGATAAAAAAACGGGCAAAATCATCACCGCTTTTCCCAGTTAACCCCTTGCCTTTAACCGAGATCGACAGATAAAAGCCTGGGTATTTAAGAACAATATGTGTTATCTCTTTTTATTTTCCAGTCCTTTAAAAAAAGAAAAGTAGCACTTGGGAGAAGCTGACAATGCCTCGGGGGCTGACCTTCAGGTGACTTTTTTGTCAACTGATACAACAGCCCTGAGTTGGCAGGATGAACATTCAAGGAAACATTCCCATTGAATGCAAAAGAAGGCAGACGTGAGTTTGTCTCTTTTTATTGTTTGTAAAAATACGTGATTTTTATACTTCCTATGCTTATGATTTTGGGTTTTTTTTCTTTAATGTGATTTAAAAAACCCTTTCGATGAATCAAGGTTTTGCTTTTTTCTTTTATATATCGATTATACCAATTTTAGTCTGAAGCTCCCGTGACTCGCATGACTTAAAAAAAGTCAACAAAGCTATTTGAAGACGTGGTTTTAAATAATACAACAAAAGACATAGCAAGACACTCTATGCCAGATCTTCCCAGAATCAGTACAGAACCAGATGTTGAAAACTATGTATTGCAAAACAAAAGCCTGAAATCTACCCATGGCTTTAGGGATCAGTTTCAGCCTTACACCCAATGGGAAATATGTGAACTTTCATTCAAAAAATGCTGATTTTTTTTTTTTTTTGCACCAGACAAATTTCTGTAAAACATTATTTGAAATGTAAGCTATTCAATTCTACTAATGTTTTAGTTTAATTGCAATTTACAAAAAGACATTGGAATTCTTGTCTTATGAAACAGCCACAAACAGCAATTGTCACCTGGTTGAATAACTGTAAACGAGAAAATTTACCATGGAAAAGGAAATATCACGGGGATACAAAAGTGATTCTAATCTGAGAAAAGCCTTAACGGAAAAGAAGCTTCAGTATTTGATTACCCCAAGTCTTTGAACTGATCAGACAAAACACTCAAGAGATTTTGTTAGCATTGTGCAAAAAAGGTTTTGTGTTAAGTCAAAGTCACACAGTACCGACTATTCAGGAACAATTCTTTCCTAAACAAAGAGAAACAGCAAGTATGCTAACAACTCGTTTTGCCACTGTGTGTTCTACTAAGTGCTTAGTAATGATGAGAAAAGACAGTGCACCTAGATAGTGTCTGTGGTTTTCACTATATTGTTTTTGGGCGAATTAGAGACCTGAAACAGAGTACTCCCTATTTGCATGAAACCGTGTCAATATTTCCTATGGAAACCTGAAGTCAGTGCAACTCCGGCAGTTTCACTTGGAAAGAAACCAGTTCCATGTAAACAAATGCAGAGAAATAGTGGGATGGAGAATACACAGAAGTCGTACCTGTTAAAGGAAGCAATCTCAGAAGGCTGTGTTCTGATTTATTTTCAAGGATTTCAAAGTAACTGACGATACTTTAAAAAGTTGTGGACTGATAAAATTTTCAGCGTAAATCGAAGCGTTTGGTTTTTGGGGTTTTTTTGGGGGAGAGGAGGGGGGTAACAGTGTAAATCAAATCCAAATTTTGAACACTTGGGTCCTGTGGGTGAATACTGGTCTTTGTACAAAATCCTTTCAGTAAACGTTTCTCTGTCGATGCAGGAGTTCCCAAGGAGGTTCAGAGATTCCTGAAAGCGTTGAGGGATGAAGCTCTATGAGGGAGGGTTTGAACGCCCGGATTTCTGTGCAAATTCTTCTTGAACAGCGCGGTTAAGCAAATTTGCCACGTATTTGCTTAAGTGTACAATGAGCTCCACAACTCCGTTGATTTTGATTCAGGGTGGACCCCGCTTTACAGCTTGATTTGGATGAAATCTGTTTGTCAGGGTGGCTGCTGCCCTTTCCCTATCCCTGGGTGTGAGGGGGCTGATGTGGCGCTCCCGGTGGCTGGAGGGAGGAACCGTGTGGCTGCTGAGGAGCGGGGTTTGACATTCTGTGCCGTGGGTCATTTCTGAACACACCAGTCAGAGCTCCCGGACCGCCGGGGCTCTTCAGCCAAACACGGCGGCACCGGAGGGACCCGTGCGGCCGGGACAGGCTGCGGACCCCGCAGGAACGGGCACGCAGAGGGGGCGGGCAGGCCCAGTGCCGCCGTGAGGCCGAGAGGCGCTGAAGGGCTCCGGGGCGCTCGGCGGTGCCGCCGCTCCCGTCCCGCCGCTCCAGTCCCGCCGGTGCAGGGCGCCTTTCCCCGCGGAGCCGTCCCGGGCCCGGCGGCTCCGCCTCCCTCTTGTGACGCGGCCGGGTCCCCCGCGGCCACCGTCGTGTAAGATGGCGGCGGAGAGCAGCGACAGCGAGGAGGAGGACTTGGTGAGCTATGGAAGCGCGCTGCAGCCGCTGCAGGAGGGTAAGGGATCCCCGGGAGGTTCGTCTGCTCCCCCTCCCTCCCTCCCTCTGTCAGTGCGTTGTGCCGAGCGCTGCAGAGCGGCCCGGCGTGAGGCGCTGGGCCGGGGTATCCCGGAGGGCCTGCGCGGTGCGGTGCGGTTCGGTTCGCGGCCGGGCGGCCTGCAGCCCTTACCGTCAGGGATGTGGCGGGTGGGCCCCGCGCTGAGCTGCTTCCCCTTCCCCCTGCTGCTGCCGCGGGGCCTGTCCCGGCAGCCGGGCTGGCCTGCGAGGGGCCTGGCCTGGTGCGGCTGAGGCTGCGGTACCCCGCGCCTGGTGGCGGCTGCTCCGGGTGGAGCTGGCTGCTGGTCTTTGCTTCTGGCCTCCCCATCCTTCCAAAAACACCCAGTGCAGTTCAAGTGTACGCAGTTCTACTAATCTGACCGTCCCATACTTATATTGTTGGGATGGACAGGGTAGGGACTAATGTACAGTTGTGATTCCCACGTCTGAGCTACTTTATTCGAGAAATATTGTTACAAAGATTTGTGCTGAAGTCTATGGCTTTTGTGTTTGGTTTCAGTTTGTATGCCTGTGATGTATAATTTCTCAAGTAATTACTGAACTGAAGAAATCCTGCCTGAGATCCTGCATACTTAAAAACTAAAACTTCCCTTTCACAAGAAAAATCCAATGCTCTCAGAAGTCAGTAGAATTAAGAAGTTTGATGTGAACGCTTCATGCTTTTGCTTTTTCAGTGGTGTACATGAATAGTTACAGTGCAGTGGAAATAAATAAAATGTGATGCTTTCCATGTCAGGGTGGCTAGTGTTTGATCCCGTTACTTACAAGGAAGAAACAGCTTCTGGAGGAAGTGGGAGATCGTTCCTTCATGTAAAGTTGTGTCTTACTTCCTGTTTTATTTGATTGCAGGTGAACGAATTAAAAAGCCAGTCCCTCTTCAAGAGCAGACTGTTAAAGATGCAAAGGGACGATACCAGCGTTTCCATGGTGCATTTACTGGTGGCTTTTCTGCCGGCTACTTTAACACTGTTGGTACAAAAGAAGGTACATTTTTGTTCCTGCTCTTCCTTATACTGTGAATAGTTGAAACAGTATAGCTGAAGTTAGTTCTCCTTGAGTTTTTGGACTGTACATTTATAAATAGTCCTTTGATGTATCCTTAAGATGTAAGGTTGAAATGTTTGAAGTGTTTTTGAATACTATGTTGCTTTAAGTACCTTACTTAAATATTTTCCTTCTTTAAAGGATGGGCACCATCAGCTTTTGTATCATCACGGCAGAAGAGAGCAGGTAGAACCGTTCTTGGACCAGAAGACTTCATGGATGAAGAGGTAAACTTAGAAAGGAATGGAAAACTTGTGTAAATAGTTGCCATGACAGCAAAAATTGAAGTAACCTTGAAATTCTTTCTTGTATACAATGTTATTCTACTAGGTTATATAGACTATTTCATAGGTTCACTTAAGAAGCTCCTCTAATGTCAATATTAAAATATAAAACCAGAACTCAACTTTTTCACTTTATCAGAAAATGCAAATACTTTTGAAAGTGTTCAAGATATTTCCACTAAAATTATTACAAAAACAACTGCATAAGTGGCTTGAGAAAATCAGCAAATACGAAGGTCATATGTAATTTTCATTACACTACTATTACAGTAAGTAAGAACTTGAAGGATATTTAATCTAAATGTTTATATTTTGTGTATGTTTCCAGGATCTTAGTGAATTTGGGATAGCACCAAAAGATATTACAACTACAGATGATTTTGCATCTAAAGCTAAAGACAGGATAAAGGAGAAAGCCAGACAGATTGCAGGAGTGGTTGCTCCCATTCCAGGAACCACTGCATTTGATGATTTAATTGGACCATCTAAGTAAGTAAATTTACCTGAAAGTTTACCAAACCATTGATTTCACCTAGAAGTGTTGTATTGCTTCAAAAAGTTATGACCACCATAACTGTGAGACTGGAAGATCCTGCAGTGCTACATTTCCTAAGTGGCCTCCACCTGGATTTTTGTTTTGAATGTGCAGACTTATACCAAGGAAACATTTATAAACTGGCAGGTAGTGTGTATGCAAATAGTAACTGATTTTAAAGCAGGATATAGAACTAGAAGTTCAAGTATTATATATGTACATTATTTATCAACAAATAAGAAAGGTGCGGTTTGAAGTAATTTTGGTTTTTGTTTCCTTTTGTTTTCTTTTTAGAATAACAGTTGGGGTTGAACTGTTACGGAAAATGGGCTGGAAAGAAGGACAAGGAATTGGACCACGAGTCAAAAGAAAGCCACAGAGACAGCAACCTGGTAAGTTCAGGGAAGTTCCTGAGCTAATTAACTTCCTTGTTAGTAGAAAGTTAACACTCATAGACTGATTAGAAAGCTGATTTTAAACCCTCTTTTTATTAATGTAATATGGTGTTATGATGTCTCTTACAGATCCTACAGTGAAGATATATGGTTGTGCATTACCACCTGGACTGTCTGAGGGTTCTGAGGTATTGAACAGGGAAAGTGCTCTGTTGACTTATGTAAGAATATGTGATAACAGATGAAAAAACAAAACAACTTCTTCAATGTCCTCAAACAGTATTTTAAAATGCCGTTTCAAATCTTCTTAAAAATGTTTATAAGTATTTTCTATGCTAAATGTTAAGAAAGGTTTTAATACCTAAATTTCTTCTTTTGCTATGTAAGAAGGTATGGTTCATACACAATTCAGGAAATGCAAACTTGCCTAGGGTCATGTTAACTGAATGTTGTAAAAGCTCAACATACAGAACTTTTAGTCATATTTGCTCTTACAATCAAACTTTTATTTCGTACAAGGATGAAGAGGATGAATACCAGCCAGAGAATGTGACGTTTGCACCAAAAGATGTAATGCCTGTAGACTTGACTCCCAAAGAGAATGTCCATGGACTTGGCTATAAGGGTTTGGACCCCTCACAAGCTTTGTTTGGTGCATCTGGAAGAGAACACCTGAATCTTTTCACTGGTGGTTCCGAAGAAACAAGCAATTTACTTGGTGATCTGAGACATAGTAAAGGGAGAAAACTAGGTATTACAGGTCAGGTAAGGACATTTTTTAATGCAGTTTATGATTAGTGTAGTAAAATCCACATAATTTTTTTTTTTAAGTTAAAAGCTCCTAGTCATTGTGTTATTGTAAGAAATGTCAAGTGTGGTTGAGAAAAGGAGTTTTTTAAAACTTATTTTGAAGATGTGGAAAAACCCTTAGAACTCTCAAATGCCTTCACTTACTGAAACTGCAAAAGACTATAAAGCTACCTGACTCTGAGTAGCTGGATGGAAAAATGTTCTGTGTTATTTTGATGAGTTAAAGTTAATATTCAGTATGTTTTTAGTTTATGTTTTTTGTCTATTGTACTTTCAGTAACGCTGTATCTGTCAGCTAGAGAGGTTTTGTGTTGCTCCAGGGTATCTGTAGTTCTTACCTAGAAGCACTGTCAGTTTATATTTTCTGTGAATTCTACTTGTTTAATTTTCCTGTTAACTGACGTATTTTTTCCTTTTGAGAATTTAACCTGCTCTTAGTCAGATTGCACGTGTTATTTTGGTGGAACTAGTCTGCTGTCCTTGTCTTGTACACACCAAACTTGGTGTCCCTCCCTGCCAAGGAAGTGGAATGTGCTTTTGTGCTCACTGAGGTGTGGGGTTTTTTTCTGCCTTAGTTTCTCTGGTGAATCTGTACATTTTTCCCAGTGAATATATATTTGTATTGTAGATTTTATAGAGATGAATAGATAATCCATGTAGATGTGTTCTGATATGTGACTTAAAAGTTCTCACACTTTTGAGTTCTCATTTAAAATTTGTATTTTAGGCTTTTGGTGTAGGAGCTTTAGAGGAAGAAGATGATGATATTTATGCAACTGACACACTGTCAAAATATGATACAGTTCTAAAGGATGAGGAGCCTGGGGATGGCTTGTATGGCTGGACAGCACCGAAACAGTATAAATCCAAAAAAAGTAAGAACTGCTATTCTCTTTAAAGAGTGAGTGTAATATGGAGGAAGAAAAAAAAATGTAATCTGTATTTGCCATATATTTTAATTTTCAGCCTTGATATCTGAA